CGGGGGTGTTGAAGTGAGACTTATTCAAGTAAGACCTAGGCTCATAACAATAAAGTTTGCAACTAATATCAGCTTAGGTGCCTCCTAGAGTAGAGTAGTACAGAGTTATGATTAACTATAAAGAGTAATATTTGCGGTAAGTGAGATAGAGCCAGAGAGTTTAAATAGAAAATCTTCTAAGAGATTTCAGGTATAGCAGCTAGTGTAGAACCTTCGAGCAGACTACTTAAAATAAACAATCTAAAATTGTACATATAGCTAGTTGTACTCTCACAATATATATCACTTCTGAAATATATGAAATTAATAAAGTTTAACTGATGGCATATATATATATATATATATATATATTTATTATTATTATTATTTAGATTTTATTCCTGATAGTAACAATAATTAACATTTATTTATTTACTTAACTTCCATCCCTATTGTTGTAGAGAGTGAGAGATACTGTAAATCATTATTAAATATTAAGAAATTCAAACTAATAAATTTATATTTTATCGCAATTATTGAAAATTTACCCATCAGAGTATATAAATATTTTTTAATCACCCCGATTAGTGAATTTTTAAAGTGTTATATTACAGCAATTTAAACAAAAAAGTTCCATTTTTGATTTATAATTTATTAAAATTTTATTTGATATGTCAAAATGACACTAAGTTATTGTTTTATGTAAATATGTCACAATCTGAAAAACAGAAATAAGCTTATTCAGAGTTAACCAATCGGAGTATTATATGATGCTATTAATCACCTAATTAGTGTCATTTAAAAGTTCTGTTATTGATTTATATTTATTTTATTGTTATTCGATGTGTCAAAAAAGACACTTATTTAATATCATGTGATTAGTGCGCTAGTTAAAGACCGTCTTTTAACTAGTCCCTTCGGTCCCTAGTCTAGACCGGTCCGGACCACACCCCCTGTGGACCACTTAACATCCCTATTTTAAAGCGTATAAAAAGTTAAAAATTTTTTTATTCAATTGTACTGATCATTACCAAATCGGAATTAGTCATCCATGCTAACTTTAAGGGGTTTACAAAAAATAATACGACAATTGGAGTTTGGTGTGCAGGTGTTAAGGCGTGCGGCTGTTGCCAGCAGTCGTGAGTTCGGAACCCAGCACTTCGTTGGGGGAGCTAGTTCTGCCTGACGAGGATTGTGATGGCCCTCAGACAAACTTCCTTCTTTTTTACTACGATATAATAATTAATTTTTTTTTTTTTAATGAATAAAATTATTAAAAATACACTCAATTCAAAAAAGTTTTCAATTATTTAAATTTTAAGTTTCAGAATAAATTTTCGAGGTTCGGTTTTCCGAAATCGAAAACTATATTTTTTTGGTTTTGGATTATTTCCCGAAACTAGTTTCATTTCGGATCATAATATGTCCAGTTTATCCAACTCGTTATAAACGCTAAAAAATAACATGTTCATCGCCTTCTCTACTAACTTTTTAGATTCTTATTAAATAATTTAACAATAACCAAATGATAGGATAAAAAATTACAGATTATATTATTGCTAGTATCACGTATAATTTATTAATTTATTTGAAATTTTATAATTTATAAATATGTTATTGTTCAATAAAAAAAAATTACGATAAAAAAATGGTATTTTGAATTGAGTGTATTTTTAATAATTTTATTCATTAAAAAAAAAAAAATTAATT